GCATCAAGCATCTCTCTTGCTTTTGGGCACTCACTAATGGACTTCTAAGCTGCATTAAGTGTAATCTCTACTACCGAAGGTAGAATTCTGCTGGAGATGGTGACCATCGCTGTGGCCTGACCATTAATAGGTGTAGCCAGCCACCCTGGTCATGCAGCTACCTCCAAGAGAGCAGCCACCTAAACTGTTCAGGCCCTATCACACTATCACTTTTTCTGTCGATTTTTGCGTTTCCGTCTGAAATTGAGGCTTTCTGCAAGTATCGTTTACAAATGGAACGGCTCCCAGATGAAGAGACCAATTTCCGTCTTGATCTTGTGCTATTAATAAATTAGATAGGATGAATGAATGTAAACATAAGCTGATATTTTAGAACATCGGTATATACAATATACATAATCATATTTTTTTTTTATAATGTAATATGTATGAGAATGTTCATGCGGTTTCATTTGGAAACGCAAAAAATTTACAGAAAAAGTGATAGTGTGATATGGCCTCTAGTTGCTTCAGTTCCCTTGATAGCAGTGGCAACAAATCATTGTACCACAAAGAGCAGATGTTCCAATCCCCCACCTGTCTGAGGTTAAACCAAAGGCAGTTACTGAGGGTGGATGCCACCTCTTCTGATATTGCCAAATTTAGAGAAGGATGGCAAGCTGCAGGGCCCACAATCTGCCTGTGGGGTTCCTGTGGGCTTTTTCCCACAAGCCTTACGCAAGGTTGGCAGCTATTAGGATGCAAAAGGTATAGGTAACCTCCCAGTCTGTATCAAGGGTTGCCAATCCAATGAGACTAGGTGGGAGGGACATTTGCCCTTCCCACATCAACATTATCTATACAACACATTGCAAGTAAAGGGATTCCTAACAGAGTGGGATAATTCTCTGGCACCAAAATAGTATGACCAATCCCCCATATACATGACCAGACACTCAGCATGCCTATTCAGGGATCCACAGCTATACATGACGAGTGTGACCATTATGAAGGTTCCCTGAGGGCAGCAAGCCCAGCTTCCCCACAGCCACCCATTAACCCCAGGGGGCATGGTATTTTCTTTCATTGTTATGCGTCATTCTTTAATGCAAGCAACTGGTGTGCATCTTACTGTGAGAATATAGTCAGTGGAGATATTTGAAGTAATATATTTTTTAAAGCAGATTTTAACACAGTTGTCATTTTTAACTTAATGAAAATCAAATCTTTCAATAATTTAGGCAGAAATAGCCAAGAAAAGAAACCTTTATTTTTTACCATCTGTAAGCCAGATGGAAAGATGACTTGAAACAAACTGCAATTCACCATGAACAAGTGATTCAGAAGCAATTAATTTAGAAGCATACATTGCAGTTTATGCTGTGAAAATTGCTCTCTTGTGTTATATATTTGACCTTTGGTTAAGAAACTATCAAAATTATGTAAAATAGGTTAAAAATTTAGCTATCATAGACATTCAGAGACAGGAATCCCTTTATGAATTATTATTATATTTTTGTTGTTATTATTATTCAAAAATCATTCATTTTGGTTGATTTTGGATATCTTTCCTTACTACTGTAATAGTTGTTTTTCCATTATATTCTCATTCATGTACAGTCAAGGACAAAGTTCATGTGCTTGGAATGAAACTTTGAAATCCTCTAAGGCTAACCAACAAGAATTTTTTTACCGTCTTGGTGGGCCATGCCAGATTTACAGTGTTGTTGGACAAACAAATATTGCTTTATAATGATTAAATGATTATGCACCTCTAATACTTCTAAAGTTTCATGAATCACTACTTTGTATACCAAGGATGTTGTTATTCTATAAAGTATGATTTAATTTCATTTTCTAGTGCACAGATCCCCTAGTATTTGTTTGGGGATCTCTGTAGCTTTTTTTTAGCTTTTAGTTTTAAAACCTTATCATGATATCATATTTTTTTGTTTTTTAGAAATTCATTTAACTTCTACAGAAATGTTGTTAATACTTCTTTTTGAGGATGCAAGTGAAAATGATCTGCAGATATTTGTCAATGAAAACAAATAAAACATATCTACTACCTTAGGATGATTCTTTAATTCATATAAAAAAGTTTATTTTCATTTGTATCATTCAAAGGAAAGAATTACTATAAAGAGAGACATGTAAATCCTGGAAAAGGAGTAACTGGGAGTTAATGAGAAATATATCCCTAATAGAATTAAAAGTAATTACAAATCATATAAACAATGTAAGAATTAGTTCATTAGATTTTTATTTGTCCCAGATATCTGCTGATGAGTACATTCTTTAACATTAAAGTTGTGTTTTTGTGAATCAGTTCATGGTTTCAGATTATCTGTAAAATCTAAGCTCTTTACTTCTCATTTTTTTTATTATATGGAGAATAAAACAATTCCATATTTATTTTTCATTCTATGAATATTCTTCACAGAGAGATACTGTTTGTTTCTTAGACCAGTAATCAAATTGTTTGAGAGAACACCCTTGCCATCTGGTCTTAGTTACATGCTTCCGCAGAAGTGTTGTACTAGCAGAGGGCAGAAAGATGATGATGTACCTTTTTAATAAACCCCATTAGATAGGAAGGGGTTGAATATTCATTTGTATGGGAAGGATATGGCATGCATCTTCATTTTTATGGTATTGCAGTTATGATTGTTATTTTTACTGTAGCCATTATATATGTATTTATTTATTTATTTATTTGATTCACCTTTGTTTGGATTTGCTGAAAGAGTATGAGATTTCAAGGATACCAGGTGACAAGTTTCTTACTGCAACATGTTTTTTGTGAAATAGAAATAGTATTTGTCAAGATCAAGATTTCATAATGTGAAAATAGGAATTCACTTTTATTTATAAGCTTCTTTCTATTTACAAACAGTTGAAACAACGCCAGTTGTCAGCTTTAGAGAAGACTGTGATGCGGGAAGGGTCTGTTGATGTTCAAGCATTCTATAAAAGAGCAGTTCAACATGTATGGACAAGTCTTCAGTTACAGGTATCTTTCTCTCCCTTTCTAGCTTCTATTATTAAGGTGTCATTTTACAAAACATTTACAGTAGTAATAGTGCTCAGATCAAGTGTTATCGTATTTAAACATTTGAAAGAGGAATTCAAAATAATCAAGTAAAAAGGGAGGGTAGTGTGTATTATGATCTCTAAAAGCAGGCCAATATTCATTCACTTGAGTCACTTGAGTGTTATTAGGTACATCTGTTACTGTAAATAGTTAGGAATTTTTGTGCATGAGCAGTCTCCTGGACATTAAACAGAGAAAATACCTCACTCAGATCTGACCTCAGAGGGTTTTACCATGATGCCTTGTAAAGTTTTTCCTAAAAGAAATTATGAGAAACAGAGATGATAAGTTTCAGATATGAAATTATTAGAGGAAGTGCATTAAGTATCAATAATTCAGATAACTACAGAAGAGGGCAAAAATGTTGGGTACTTGGTATTAAAATGCTGCTGACTTTCTTTTTCTTTAGGAGGCAGAAGACATTCTGAAGGAGGGTGATTCGGCTATGGTGAGGCAGCTAGTCGCTCACATTACCAAAGATGATATCAAGATACTGAAGCAGTATCTGGAGAGTCAAAATAATATCCTTCAGGTTGGAATATAATTATCACATTATATCTTTGTTATGGATGTTGTCAGTCAATATTAGTATAGGCTAAAGAGTTAAATTATAAGAAAGATTGGATAACTACATTTTGAGGTTCTTGAATATCAGACTTAAATTTGCTCTTCTTTATAGGTGGATGATTTCTTGGCAAATGCCTTAGTGTTAGAGAAGCAACCACTTGTGGAGCCACGTAATATTATTGCCTTCTCTCTGGAGTGGATTACCTCTGCCTTTGAAGTCGGGAAAAATGTTGAAGTAAGTTGAAGCTCTCCTAAGGTCTAGAAACATTTTAATGTAAATGATAGTTTGTGATTATATAATGTATATATTGCATAATTATATAAATTTGTATAAAACTTTCAAGTACTGTGAAGGTACCACCAACAAAGTATAACATAGATTTCTACATAAATAGTATCAAAGATTCATGTGCGCCCAGAAAAATAATAAATATGTCCATATTCTGCAGGTGTGGTTGTACTTTTTGTGTGCTTTATTTATTCTTCTGGCAATATGGGCTGTGTTCTTATTTATTCGAGACATCCAGCGAGAGTTACGCTGGACACGAGTGATTGGGATGATGATTGTCATCATTTTCTTCATCTGCTGCCTATGGCACTGGCGTCACATGCACAAGGTTTGTTTATCCCTGATAGAGGCAATAATTAAAGGGTCAAAATTTTGTTTTCTTAAGCAATTGTAAACAACTATTCTCACCAGAGGTCTTATGATTTAGAACAATTTTTTTTATTAAGCTTTGAAGTGATGAAGCTTCTTATAAGATTCGGGAATGTGTTACATATGTGTCTCATTATCATATTATGTATACATGTTTTATGGTTACAAAACTTTTTGTGTAAGTTTTTAAGTTTTGCATCAAAATTCGCCTTTTAAACATCATCTTTTTTTCTAGGTAGCTGAGTCACGTCGCCATGCACAGATGGCTAAGAGAGGTTTTACAAATATCCCAGAGGAATGCAAACCAGGGGCGAAAAGCACAACAGGCAGTGTTTGGAGTTGGGTGAAAGTATCAGTGTTTGGGGCTCCAGATGTGTGTGAACAGTAAGTACAAATATGTGATTGATTTCAATATCTTTTTCAATACAGCATCAAACACTGTAAGATGTTGGGGCAATTCTGTGATAGAATCTTTATATAGATAGTAGTGCTGTAGATCAAACAAAAAAATTGCATATTGCAAATGTATAAAATAAGACTGATTGTTATACTTTTGGTACCATATCAGATAATGATATAATATTTGCATAGTATTTTTAGAATAACATTATTTAGCTAATTCCTTACTCGTAGGAGATGACTTTCAGTAGCAATTGATGATATTCATGTACTGACTAAGAATATTTTTCATCGCGAAGACTGATATGCCAAAATATCCTTTCAGATATTTTGAAGACTTGATGGTAGACCCCACACAGGAAATCACTCCAGGAATGGTGATTGCAGAAACTTTAAGCAAGTTCTGCTTTCAACCACTCCAGCACCTTGGCTCAGAGAGTGCTAAGTTTATCAATAACTTTTATAGTAAGGGATTTTTTTGTGTCTTGAAAGTCACATTAATCATATTGCTTTCTTTAAAGCTGTTTTTTATTTTATATGAATCATGGTCTCCTTTTTGTTGCCGTTGTTGATGTCAGTTTTCAGGTTTTTCTCTTCAATTTTCTACAATTTTCAGGTAACATCCCTGTCGTATATCACATCCCAGCCACCGCATTCTTTTTGTTACTGTTGGTCATCATCCTTTTTGCTATGTGTGGGTATGGCATTGACTTTCCCCTGTGGATGGGAGGAATCCGTCCAATCTACAGAACAGAGACAGTGGATACTTCAGAACTTGATAAAATAAGGAAAGAGGTAGGTGTTCCCTTTATCCTGTTTCCTTTTTATTTCCCAGCTATATCCAATAGGTTTTTGTTCATATCAAGTGATTTTTGGAATTGTTTTTACTGCATTAATTTGTTTGCTGTGTTACCCCTTAAGGGATGGTTATTCTACATCTTTTTCAACTTTCCTTGTTTTTCAAGTATATGATTTTACCTCATTAAAAATATTCTTTTAGCACTTATGTAAAAAAAAATTCATATTGCTAGAGCTGCCACAGAAGTTTGTGAGATAGAAAAAATATAACCAGGAAATATATATCCTCTAGTGAAGCTATTGCCAAAAATTTCTTCCAGAAATTGGCCATTTATTATTTTACTATATCTCCTTATGATACATGAATTATTGATAAAGATGTCCAGGTTTAGAAGTCTTCCTGATGAGAATACAAAGATTTTAGTTGAATGGGCTAGTTTTTGCTCTTTTTTTTCTTCTTTTTCTTTTTTCTTTTTCTTTATTTTTCTTTTTTTGTGTGAATGTTTTGTTTTGCAAGGAAAATGCTTTTTTCTCTGTTTATTTTATTTTTGTAAGAATACTAACTCTCTTACAATCAGTTGCATTTGGCAAATGGAAATGTCAAGGAGGTAAGTATAACGTATCAAAAGAGCGGTAGAGCATAGACAACTAGGAAAGACTTCAAAAGTTTTTGAACTTAGCAAAGTAGCTACTTGTATATGATATTGGTTTATTGGTCCAGTGAGTTTCACATTCTAGCTAAAGTATTAGAAGTTCAAAAATAACCATTACAAAAACATGTACCTCGTTGTTTTGAGATGATTGGACAATGAATAGGAATGGTATTACAATCTAATACAGTATAGCTGCAACATAGCAGAGGAATTTCATAATTTACATGTAGAGGTAGATTATTTCAGTGTCTTTTAATTGTATTATTGGCAAGTTTTTGCTTCACAGACACTGGAAACTGATATTTCTTATTTGTACTACATGAACTTAGCTTTCTGTCATTCAATTTACATTTTACAGGTAATTAACTTTTTGACAAATGTGAAATTGATTTGTTAAATTTGATGGTAACCTAGTTTAAGTATGGAAATAGTGTTATTAGTTATGTAATGTAAATATAAAATTATTTTTAATAGAATAAACATCTGTTTGATGTATGTGATGGTCTGGATGTACATGTAAGGTGTTCACTGGAAAGATAAAAAAAGGACATGTTCTGAATAAGACATTTCCATTCTTGTGACTTTCAAAAAGCATTAATATCATAATTTATCACAAAAAATATAAATGTATGATTCTAGAGAAAACACATGTTGTAGGATAACTTATTACCTTTTCCTTGTTTCAATGAGTGTCTTGTATGCATGTTAGACTTCTCAAATTGATTTAACAATTACTTGATTTTTTAGAGTTTTATAGTAGCATATCTCATCAAAGATATCCCCAAAGATTAAAGCAATGGTTCACATACTTTTTCTGGTCATTACCCACTTTTCACACATTATCCTTGTCCATGGCCCACTGCCAAGCATAACCTGTGACTGCAGTGAATGCTTACAGTCCTGCACTAATTAGGTCAATATAGAAACCACTCTAGCAAATCCTGTAATTCCATTGATTTCATTTTTTCTTTTGTGAAGTATTAATAAAGAATTTTATTGTTTGCCTTCGTTAGATTTCATGTAATTATTAAAGTGGCATTCAAGAAGTAACTGAGAATAATTAAAAGATGACATTATTGCAAAAAGTTGTTTAAATTATAAACAAACAAAAAACAAAATAAAACATAACTTAGGAAATCTGAGAATTATGTTTAGATTAAATTATTACCCAAATATGTCTCAATCTCTTGTTTATGTCAATAACACATAATCAGGTAAAAAAAGGGAATTACACAGACAAAAAAGGGATGTATTACTCTGCCTACCCACTTAAATCCTTTGGTTTTATATATACATATCCTTAGATTATGGTCCCCTATATTCTGCTACATGGCCCTCATTCTGGGAACCACTGGTCTAAAGGAGAAAACATACCAGAGAAATTAATATATAAGATTAAACAAAAAGCAGCATTTATTTTCTAGTAATCAGTGCTGAATTTTAAAGGTCTTGAACCAGCTAGCTGAGAAGAAGAAGAAAGAATGTAAGATTATCTGACAGTTTTCATTTATCACAGGCACGTAAATGTGACTGTTTTAAACATTAATTTTGACTCGATTTGTTGCTTATTCAGGTTAAGGTAGTACAAGAAGGATAGATGTTATGAAAATCTTATTTTGTCATTGAATAGTCAACTGAAAATAGACTGTTGGCAGGAGATTGAGGAGTAATATTTAGGTACAAAATAAGTGTATGGTGGCTGAAGAAAACCTCGTGGTAAGTACACAGATAGTAAGTTTGTGAGAATGGTCAAGCTGCAAACTGGGAAAGTGAATAAGATATTTATTTTTCCCTATCAAAATGGGTGATGAGTTATTTTCTTATCTTTCACTGATCTGTCTTTTACAATAACATAACAATGGGGAAAAGAGAAGCTGAGGTGAAGCAGAAACAGAGAGAAAGGCAGTAAGAACTGTTTGACCAGATTTTGATTGAGTTGTATTTTCAAGATTTTCTAACAATTTTGTTACCATCCTTTCTGATAGGCCAGATTTACATCTCAGTACCAGTGTTTTTTGTTTTTTGTTTTTTTTTCTGGTCTTTTTTAACAAGGTCATATGATAACCATATTTTGTATCTTCTGTCTATATGATGTGGTTTTATGTCTTTTTCTATGAAAATGACTATGTTCTCTCTTTCATGTTTTTGTTCAGATGCAGAAAGACACAGAACTATTACTGAGTGAGGCACGTTTAATGCTGACTGACATGGCAAAAGCTGCAACATCAACACAGGTAAATAATTGTATAAGACGTGAGAAAAAATGTGAAATGGCTCATTTTTTCTTTTCTTTTCTTTTTTTTTTTTTTTTTTTTTTTTTTTTTTTTTTTTTTTTGGTTTCTTAAAAACCATGCATGGATTTTGTATTGCCAGTATGTTTTATAAATAGTAGTTTAGCATAATATTTGTTTCTAATATTGAAGGACAGTAAGTTGGTCTCTTATGTAGAATAGGTAGCTTAGATATTTTAATGTCTGGAATCTGCACTAGATTTTCTGGTTGGTCTGTTTTAGAATTACTTGTAGTAAACAACGTAGGAATTCTAACCAGACATGTTATCTTCATGGAATAGATCCAGTGTCTGGACCTCAGAATGGCTGAGGACGTAAGCCTTAAAAGTCTTCAGGTAATATTGATCAGTAATATCTATTTTAACTAATGGCACACTATAAATGGGCGATGGTTTTCTTCCTGAGATCATACCATCTTGATTTACAGATAGTGTCGAATTCGATGCCTGGAAAGTGACATAGATATTTCCACCTTTAAACCATTCACCTCAACATTGGTAATCACTCTGTAGGTGTATTTAGGGGTAATTCTTCCTGTGAATGTTTAATCGGGGACTCACTTTTGTAGAGCAGAAAAATGTGTTTTCTAGTGTTACTAATCCAAACTAATCCTGTCCTTTATCTCTGTTTCTCTTTTTGTCTCGTCTTTCTCTCCTGTGTTCTTTTTCTTTTAAACAACTTCTCCCTCCTCCTTCATGACTCCCCCCCCCCCCCAGACCCCCTTAAAAGTCTTCAGCAGTCTATTATTCCCCCACACTATCGATCCCTTCCTGAGATCATACCATCTTTACAGATAGTGTCGATTCGATGCCTGGAAAGTGACATAGATATTTCCACTTTAAACCATTCACCTCAACATTGGTAATCACTCTCTTCCTGTGAATGTTTAATCGGGGACTCACTTTTGTAGAGCAGAAAAATGTGTTTTCTAGTGTTACTAATCCAAACTAATCCTGTCCTTTATCTCTGTTTCTCTTTTTGTCTCGTCTTTCTCTCTCTGTGTCTCTTTTTCTTTTATGTATTTCTCTGTCTGTCCCTCTCCCTCTCTCCCCCCTCTCCCTCTCTCTCTCTCTCCCTCTCCTCTCTCTCTCTCTCCTCTCTCTCTCTCTCTCTCTCTCTCTCTCTCTCTCTCTCTCTCTCTCTTCTCTCTCTCTCTCTCTCTCTCTCTTCTCCTCTCTCTCTCCTCTCTCTCTCTCTTCTTCTCTCTTCTTCTCCCTCTCCCCTTCTCCCCCCTCTCCCCTCTCCCTCCTCTCATTTCCTCTGTCCTTATTTCCCTTCTCTCTTCTCCATCTCTCTCTCTCTCACCCTCTGTCCTTATTTCCCTCTCTCCCTCTCTCTCACCCTTTCTCCTTATTTCCCTCTCTCCCTCTCCCTTCCCTTCCCTTCCCTTTTCACTTCCTGTCCCACTGTATCAATTCCTAACTGACTGATGCATGTTCCTTTGTGTGGTTCTTGTAGTTTTAGTATGCTTTAATTCCCGATTCCATGGTGGTTTAATAATTCCTTGTGAATAAATATATCAATACAGTATAAGACGACAGTAGCCTCTTGGATTTGAAAT